AATGCAATGGTGATCTGAAACATAAACGTCCTCAGGACAAACACTGTCAGCATTTAGACTCAGGGTACAAACAAGGTCTAGAGTGTGTCCCCTGGTGTGTGTGGGGCCAGAAACATGCTGGGTAAAGCTGAAGGAGTCCATAAGGCTGGAGAAATTCATGGCAAAGAGATCAGAGGGATCATCAACGTGGATGTTAAAGTCACCAACAATCACCAGTCTGGACAGCTTCACAGTGGAGGATAGAAAGTCACTAAACTCCTGAAGGAAAGAACTGTTTGGACCAGGTGGACGATAGACCACAGCACAGTAGAACGGGTCCTTACGCCCGACTTTAATCAGCTGCAGTTCAAAGGAAGCAAAGTGACCAGAGATTGTAGAGCTACATGGAAGATGGTCTCTGAAAACAACAGCTAGGCCTCCACCACGACCAGAACCCCGGGGCTGGCTAAGAAAAGAATAACCACACGGGCAGAGTTCAATCAGACCAGAATAATCAGATGTTTGCTGCCAAACTTCAGTCAGAAACAGAAAATCCAGGTTTTTAGAGAGAATTAGATCATTGAGCAGGAAGGACTTATTGTTAACAGAGCGGGTGTTTAATAGAGCCATGCTGAGTGGGGTGGAGGAATCAGAAACTACACAAACAGCTGGAGTTAGTGGACGTAAATTAGCAGGGTTAGATCCACGGTGTTTATAAAAACCACTTATGGAGGGAACTGGAGGAGAAACCACTGAGGAATGAGGATAAACCGACCTTAAAAAACTTGGACGGATGAACCGCGTCACAATGCGGCCTGGCGGGAATGTAGAAGTGGTGCTCAGGTCACCAAACAAAGGACAAGAAGCTAGAAGATTGCGCCGATGTTTACTAGATAAACCACGCTTTAAGAGAAGTCTTATTCTCACCTGGATTCCTGCTCGTTTACCTCTTTTCCTCCGACATTTTCCCGGGACCGGACAAACATCGCTAGAGGTGCGCAGCTCTGGATCGTCGATTGCTTCCGGGCCACTGCGCCGCTCAGGTAAACAAACAGGATGGTAAATCTTCGGTGCATCTTGGGCGATCGTGAACGAACGGAAGGACAGAAGAGTCTGGCGGTCATAGGAGATGGTAGCAGGGACACTACTGAAGAGGATCACAGACAGGAGCAAGGTGGAAAAGAGGAGGTTAGTGGAGAACAGTTTGAAAAAGTGGCCGGTGACCGCGGCTAAGCCAAGCACAGGCGCCATCTTGTTACCGACCGGAACTGAGGAGACTTGTGGAGTAGGGCTGGATGATATAGAAAAAAGGTACATCAATAATTATTGAAAAATATTTTTTGAATTGTAGAAAATATTTTACGTGCACCCCTGGCCATTTCATTTTTGGTAATTTGATTTTTTTCTCCGCCTCTTCTCGCTGCAACATCTTTAGGTCTGCCACAAACGACTATTTTAGTAGTTGACTAATCGTGTCATTCATAAAGGTTTAGCTTATTGCACCAGGGTGCTCTAATATACCATCATTAGCTTCTTGTCTGAAGTGTGATCAGCTATGTGACATCTAATAATAAAGACAAGATGAAAGCTTACCAATACGGTTGGGCATCGAGCATCGATCGGAACTGGGACAAACTGTTCGTTTTTCCCAGACTCGTTCAGTTTTTTATTTTGATTCCTAGTTTCGATTCCTAGAATGCCGACGGAAGAGGAATCCGCGGCCGATCTCCGTGAAAAATAAACGTGATCTTCAAATTGTGATTAACGCTTTTTAGAGCTGATCACAGCAGCTGTGTGTGTGCAGCACCGAGTCCCCCCTCCCCCCACCCAGATATAAACAAACGCGCCTGCTGAACTTTTACTCCGTGATGTAAACGTTAACTCCTGCAGCGTAGAGGAAACGTGTTAAATACGTCAACACGGTGGATTTTATAGAAGCGTTAAAGAACAAACTCTGGACGGTGTGAGGTGAGTTTGTCTCACTGCAGAAATACAAACACACACGGAGCGTCAGCAGTCAGACGCAGCCGCTCACCAACACTCTTTGTGTGTGTGTGTGTGTGTGTGTGTGTGTGTGTGTGTGTGTGTGTGTGTGTGTGTGTGTGTGTGTGTGTGTGTGTGTGTGTGTGTGTGTGTATATGTGTGTGTGTGTGTGTGTGTGAGCGTCAGAAGGCTGAACAATAACCTGTAGAATAATTAAAGTCATCATGCTAGAGCAGCTTCTCTGAGGTGGACCACACCAGCTTCTGCCACCATAAATAATAATAATAATAATAATAATAATAAATAACATTTTAATTTCCTTTCTGAACTATTTCTGTTGAGAGTTTAACGTTTAAAACCTGTTAGCTTGTCACTGACAGCAGCTACGGTTAGGTTTCTGACTGAAGCTGCTGCAGCATGGAGGTGTAGTTCTCAGTCATCCTGGACATGACCATCCTGAGAGTTGGAGCTGAAAACAGCTGGACGCTTCTGGATATGTTGGAGACGTTTATGTTTGTGTCTAAATGAAGGTGATGTTGTTGTTCATAGAGTTAAAACTCATGTTGAAGTTGAGATTATTTCCTCCAGTAGGACCTGTGGTCAGCTGGCTCATGTAAAGCACGTCATGTCTTCAAAGAATCTGAATCGGGAATCGATAGGAACCGGAATCGATACGAGGAATCTGAATCGTTCAAAATCAAACGATGCCCAACCCTACTCATCAACAACTATGATTAACTTTGTAACCTGTTAACTCATTCGCTGCCAGCGTTTCTCACCGTTTTTACTGTTTTTTTAAGAGTGACAGAACGTTGCGCGCTAGCATGATGTCGACGCCAAAACAACCAAAACAAAGCGGAGACTCGCCTCTTACATCAGGAAGAATCCGCGTGTTTCGAGCGTTATCCGTTCTTTCATCATCCGTTGTTGAATTGTGATCGGCAGAAGCTTTTCCGGTTCGCGCCTCACTTTTTTTACAGCAGCGGCCCAAAACGATCTCCTAACACATGGATGTTCTGCTTCCTGATCACGTGACGTGTGACATACGTGGATGAAGATCGACTTTAGAGCTGAGATGTTTGTTCTCACGGTGCGGGGGCTCGTCCGACGCCCACACAGTAAAAAATGTAAACTGGCAGTGAATGAGTTAATGATGATGAGGGTGGCTCCTAGAGGCTGAGGTGTAGGGCTAAAGTGTCATCACTCCATAGGCGTCATTTTAACCGGGGACGCCGGGGACATGTCCCCGGCAAAATTTGTGATTGGCAGCTGTGTCCCCCCCACTTTCAAAAACGCCTGCTGATGAGGATTTTTGTTTTACCAGCTCAGATCTTATGGGTCGGCAACCTGTTCCCATCAAAGAGCCATTATTACCCATTTCCCACAGTAATTTTGGACGGACCTTAATAAGCAGCGACTTAAGTGAAGCAGGCAGGTCGCGCTAGAAAATTTCGTTTAAAAAGACGTCATAAATGTGTTCCCCGTCCTTTTTATTTATAAAATATGAAGTAAAAACTCACAATTTAATTTACATTCATTTGTCATTAATATGTAGTCTACACCCGTGCGTTAAGTGGACCATCTTCCAGTAAACGCACAGCATCCAGCCCATCTCTCCAAATGCGTAAAATGTGCAGCTGATCGGCCCAGACAAGAGCAGAGCAAATAGAGAAAGAATAGAGGATAATTGTGTCTGGATGTGGATGGAGATTACATTTTACAGCAGCCTGATCATCATTTAAACACGTAAACCATCATCTGTCTTCTAGTCCACGCTATCAGCATTATTTTAATTGGTGTGTGTGTGTGTGTGTGTGTGTGTGTGTGTGTGTGTTCCACTTCAAACACTGGTCTAACCAACCAGACCAGCGTGTCCAGTAACATATTAATGTTACAATTAAACAGTTTCACTTCATGTAGGCTAGGAACGTTTCACCTGCCGTGGCCCGACCGCTTCTGCTCCACATAAACTTTGTGCGTGATCAAATGTCTCTACGCGTCATGCGTCTCCATATTAGAGACGGAAACAAGCGCTGTTCAGCCAAAGTTTCATAATTTCATAAAAAGAACATTTTTCCAAGTGACACATCCCTCAGAGAGACCGGATTTCCAGACTGTTTCAGTGGGAGGAAATCTTATCGCATGCGCCGTTCTGCACTGCGCTGCGAACCCCAGATCTTCAGCTCACTGTCCACTGTGGGCGCTCTGAGCCGCGCTGAACACAGTGTCCAGTATAAAGCTCTGATGTTCTGATGGGAATATTTTACCTCCGCGATGTGCATTAACGATTAAAATATCAGCTCATCCATGCGCATCCGTGTGCGTCGTGGTAATTCTTTCAAACCAAGCAACATCCTTGAGTTCATCTGTCAAAATAAACAGTCAAATGGAAATATATGTAACCTGCCGTTTAACTGTTTTGCCTTCATGTGAAGATTGTTGCAACGAGAAACAATTAAACTTGATTAACCCCAGAGCCACCCAGAGAACCAGAGCGCATGCGGAAGGTTCCTCCCACTGAAGCGAGTGTTTTCCAAACCCTGTCTCTCAGAGAGACTTGTCACTTAGAAAATGTTCCCTGATTATGAAACTTTGGCTGAATAGTGCTTGTTCCTGTCTCCAATGTGGCGACACATCCAGGAGCCTGTCTGAGGAGAATCCCAGAATCTCACATCCTCTTCAGCTCAGAAAGCGCCTATGATTACGCACAAGCGTGACGCGCCAACCCGGTCTCACAGTAAGACCGGGTTGGAACTGTTCAGGTTTACGCAGGCAATCTTTATATTTAGAATTGGCATACAGATGTAAAATTAATGCAGTAAAATATAAAGCATTTTATTTAAATATCCATTCATTATTTTACAAACAGAGAGCCGCATCAGATGGATGGAAGAGCCGCATGCGGCTCCAGAGCCGCGGGGTGCCGACCCCTGTGCTAGCCTACTTTATTGTCCCCAGCAATTTTTAAACCCCACCCAAGTGTATGGTTATTGTCCCCAGCAGTTCTGACAACAAACTGACGCCCTTGCATCACTCACTTTGGTCTGGTCCAGACGCCGTCTCTTTACTGGTGCTCCTCAGTAGGTGACGTGAAGCTCCAACATCTGAGCGTTCTGTGTTCCTCAGAGGAGAAGAAAAGTAACATTAGCACTGCCTACATTATTTTTACTAGCATCTCAAGGCCTTGGAGAAGCAGATCTTCACTTACCTAAACATCAGACCAGTTTGTCCCAGCTGAGCTCATCAGGGCGTTAGTCTGACAGCCTGTCAGTGAAACACGGCTCCAGCCTTCTGGATGTGGACTCTAAAAAGCAAAGGAGCCTTTTTACTGTTGTTTTCATTATTTTACAGCTGATTTGATCAGATTTCTGACGCTCATACAGACGAGTGTCGGTGAGCTTAGCTGCGTGTGACTGATGCAGAGTTGGTTTTTATATCTGCAGAGAGACAAAAACTAGCCTCACTTCACTCAGAGATTGTTCTTTAAACTCGTATTAAATCCGCTGTGCTGACGCACTTTAACCACTTAGTCGCGCTGCTCTTTAGCTGATGTGGGATTTATTTACTGGATGCTAACATCACAACACACTCACGGAGTAACACACACAGGCGCTCTGCTGCTACAGTCAGTGGAAGGTTATCATCTGGTGTAAAAAGGCGTTCATCACAATTCCCAGATCACGTTTTATTCCACGAAAATCGTCCGAATCCACATTAATCTGGGTGCTAGCTTTACTAGCATGTTGTGCTAGCTTTACTAGCATGTTGTGCTAGCGTTAGCAGGTGGGATGCTAATGCTAGCACGCTGCTAATGCCCGTAAATGAACGTGTACAGTAAAGTTAGCCGACATTTTAGAGTGATATGAAGCTTACCGCTCTGCTGCTGTGTCGAGCTGGGTCCAGCCAGCCGCGGGGCCTTTCTGCTGGGCTAAACTAGTTCGTGTCGCACCGCCACGGCTCAACAAAAGCCACCACACCTATAAAACACACTTTTGTTGCCTTTTCTAAGAGATGCTAATGACTCCAACTTGTTGTTTCCGTTTCGGATCTTTATTCCGGGTTACTGTTGGCCGCAGCCCACGTCTTAACTCCAGCAGAAACACCGTTAACGATCTCCGATCACACTAGCTCGTTTTCTTCTAAACAACCGAACAGGTGTTGTGCCCAAAAATGATCGTCTGCCAGAAACTGATTGCCGTCCGCGGGAGCGCGCGCAGCTGCTTGAAAGCTGCAGCGGTATGGGGTTAGACCCGTGCCAAAACCCGTGCACGCTGAATCCGCGTGCACGGGTCCACATCGCGCGTGTGAACGGGACTCGCGAGTGAAAATATACATGGAGAGGTCATTTGTGCACTGAGAGGGAGCAAGGATGTGCACAAGTGACAAACCTGCGGCGTCATTTTAACCGGGGACGCCGGGGACATGTCCCCTGCAAAATTTGTGATTGGCAGCAAAAAAGCCTGCTGATGAGGATTTTTGTTTTACCTGCTCAGATCTTATACCAGGGGTCGGCAACCTGTTCCCATCAAAGAGCCATTATTACCCGTTTCCCGCAGTAAAGAAAACACCGCAGCAGCCGTGGCGTTGTGAGCGGGGCCTACCCTCAGACAGCAGAGAGCTGCTCACAACAGGTGACAGCAGCCGGTACCGGTCGCTCGCATGGGCGGGGGATGGGGGGGATGCAACACCCACACTTTTCTTATTGAGATCATTCAACACCCACACTTTTGGCGTGGCACCCGTGGGGGATTCAAAACCCACACTTTTCCAGCTGTTTTGCTCACCTCCACACCAGTCTGGTTTCTTTACGTCGCACTAACTCTGTTTGCCTCATCTCCTTCTTCCCCTCCCGCTTCTGACAGCCGATGTCGGGTTTCCAGGAGAGCAGGAAAGGGAGGGACGAAAGAGCTCGACTGAATTCATAATTTTACATCTTGACATTAGCTGTACAAGGTCTGAGTTTGATAAAGTGAAGAACAACAATTTGCAGAGGTTTATAACAGGTGCGGCGCCAGGTTTTCATTTTTGGGTGGGCCACGGTAATTTTGGACGGACCTTAATAAGCAGTGGCTTAAGTGAAGCAGGCAGGTCGCGCTAGAAATTTTCATTTAAAAATACGTCATAAATGTGTTCCCCCGTCATTTTAATTTCTAAAATATGAAGTAAAAACTCACAATTTAATTTTCATTCATTTGTAATTAATATGTAGTCTACACCCGTGCGTTAAGTGGACCATCTTCCAGTAAAAGCAAAGCATCCAGCCCACCTCTCCAAATGCGTAAAATGTGCATCAGCCGCTAGTTAGGCGCGCCACGCGCACGGTCAGCTACGTCAGCCCAGACAAGAGCAGAGCAAATAGAGAAAGAATAGAGGATAATTGTGTCTGGATGTGGATGGAGATTACATTTTACAGCAGCCTGATCATCATTTAAATACGTAAACCATCACCTGTCTTCTAGTCCACGCTATCAGCATTATTTTAATTGGTGTGTGTGTGTGTGTGTGTGTGTGTGTGTGTGTGTGTGTTTTCCACTTCAAACACTGGTCTAACCAACCAGACCAGCATGTCCAGTAACATATTAATGTTACAATTAAACAGTTTGACTTCATGTAGGCTAGGAACGTTTCACCTGCCGTGGCCCGGCCGCTTCTGCTCCACATAAACTTTGTGCGTGATCAAATGTCTCTACAGGTGCTTTCTGAGCTGAAGAGGCTATTCTGCCTCAGACTGGATGCGTCATGCGTGTCCATATTAGAGACGGGAACAAGCGCTGTTCAGCCAAAGTTTTATAATTTCATAAAAAGAACATTTTTCTAAGAGACACATCCCTCAGAGAGACCGGCTTTCCAGACCGCATCAGTGGGAGGAAATCTTACCGCATGCACCGTGGTTCTGCACTGCGAACCCCTCTACAGATCTTCAGCCCACTGTCCACCGTGGGCGCTCCGAGCCGCGCTGAGCACAGTGTCCAGTATAAAGCTCTGATGTTCTGATAGGAATAATTTTCTTATGCGATGTGCGTTAATGATAAAAATGTCAGCTCATCCATGCGCATCAGTGTGCGTCGGGGTAATTCTTTCAAAACAACCAACATCCTTCAGTTTATCCGTCAAAATAAAAGTCCAATGTAAATATCTGTAACCTGCCATTTAACTGTTGTGCCTTCTTGTGAAGATTGTTGCAAAGAGAAACAACTAAACGTGATTAACCCCAGAGCCATGCGCACTGCGCTGTACTGACTGTAAATGAGGGGGAAACGATTTAATCGGATCCTTTTCTCTTGAACATGGTTTAACGTAATGTTTCATTCAGTACAAACTTTAGTTACACCGATCTAACGAGACAGAGCCTGGATTTGTATTCTGAACAGTTTAAACATGTTTAAAACGGAGACGTGCGTGACGCATCTAAAATTCACACCTGCTCCGCTATTATGGAAATTAAACTAACAAGGTGAATAACATGAAATTATTTTAGGCACAGACAACATCCCCCACACTTTTGAAAAGCTTGCAACGCGCCTGGTCGCTCGTGTACGTCAAAGTTATCTTTCATAAGAAGATAATCAATAAAACGATTTATATAAAGTGGATCCAGAAGTTGTAGCCCGTCTCTGCCTACAATATTTAGATATTTTTCACCCTGTTGGTGGTTTTACTGAGCAGGTGCCACTTTTGTCATACGTTTCTTTTTAAAACATGTTTAGACTGTTCAGAATACAAATCCAGGCTCTGTCACGTTTGATTGTTGTAATTAAACTTTGTAGGTGGGGAAGGTCAGAAAAGGATCCGATCATTTTGTTTTTCCCTCATTTACAGTGACGGAGATAACGGTGCAGTGCTCCTGGCTCTGGTGGTAATCACGTTTAATTTCATCTCTTTGCAACAATTTTCACAAGAAAACAGAACAGTTAAAAGCAGGGCTTGTGTTGACCGGACAGTTCCCGTATTTGACCGTGTAACAGACACTGTCTGTTTTGGTGGCCACAAGATGGCCTCGTAGGCACTGGTTGTTCTCCTGGCTCTAGCTGAGCCAGGTGTCGCTCACCAGCCCATCAGGGAGCTTCCTATAAAAGGCAGCTCCCTCTGTCATTCAAGGAGGGAAGCTGAGCAGAGGCCTGAGCGTTAAAGCAAGTGATCCTCTTTCCCTCCTAGATCTGACTTATTAGTCTTGTTGTGTAATCTGTGCGGTTTAGATATTCTTCCTCGTGTTATAGAGCTCGATGTTGTGTTTAGTTAGAAACACTCGTTAAAGTGTTTAGCTCACCCTTTTGGTGGAGCTTCTTGAGTTCATCCTAGTTTTTCCTTTTCCCGGTTAAGTCCCGGCGTTTTGTGGTTATTAAAATATACCCAGAGTTGGATGATCTTTTATTAGAATTTACTGTTATTTACCCAGTATTTGGAAGATCTTTGTGTTTGGTGACTTAGTATTTGTTTCCTGCTTATATCAGCAGCGCTTTTAGTTAATAAACCTCCTTCAAGAGAGTAATCCTTGGTTTGTCCGGATTTACGGTATTTGACATTTAATTAATTTGTTTTCTATGATTGTGAGCAAGCAGTTCAGCAGGTTTGGCCAGTGGAGGTCCCTCATTCATTTGGGAATGTCGGCCAGATGTAAGTGCCAGATGTGGACCACATCTGGCCCAGACCAATTTTGCTGCCTGGGAAAATGCAGTCGAACTTAAGATTTTTTCGGCATTTCAACCTGTTATGGAAAATTTGTTTAATTAACAAATTTTCCATAACATTCCCTCCTGTTTATCCCAATAGGATAACCAAACAAAAGGAAACGAAACAAAACCAAATAAGGAATATTATCCACTTCCATAAAAATCAACAAGAAAAATAACAAGTAAAGTAATAAACACTACGATCAGATATGAAAGGTTCAGAATTAACATGATGAAGCGGGAACACAGCATGAGGTGCTGCAAACATTTGTCTATTGCGGATCGTAATCTCAATCCTGATAACTTCGTCCAAATAATCATTCCATACAAAGTGTAATACAAAAATCAGCTTAATAATAAGAACAAATAAGGTAACAAACACGATACGGCAAACACAACTGACAATATCTTACAGCAGTTCACAGAGATATAGAACAGAATCAGCTAAATCAACACAATTATAAACTTAAGAAAAACTATTTCATACATATTGAAATGAATTTACTGTGATGCACAATTCTACGACTTATGGTAGTTCCTTTAAAGAGATTGGGAAGGGTTAGCAAAACCATATAATACACAGAAAACATCAGTACAGTGTATTGAAACATCAGGTGAATTTAGTTTAAAGCTCCAAGTTGCAGACGAGTCTTTCTGTGAAGGAGGAAAAATGAGGGAGTAGTATTAATTTATGCAGCTCTAACTATGGCAGAGCTGAGGCAAACCAGGTGTTCTTCATCAAAGGGCTTGTCCGTGGACTGAGAGTCCCGGTTGGAGAATGGGTTTGAAGGTCAGAGTCCTCTTCCGGTGGTCCAGACGGTTTCGGTCTTACGTTGATAAGTATCTTGAAGTCTCCACTATAGGAAATGGGTTATTGATAAACATATTGATAAAATCCATGACAACCTGTAACTCATTTAGTCTGCAGCAGAGTTAAAAGGGAGAGGCGGGGGCTGTGTGTGAGGAAACAAGCTCGTCTCCTCCGCACGTCACATGACACGCAGAGGCGTGGCACAGCGGTGAAACAGTCACGGGAACATTTCATTGGAAAAGCACCAAAATGTAGCACCGAAAAATGATTTTTTTCAGAAGCAGTACCTACCACATGCTTTTGGTCAGTACCAAAGAAGTACCGGGCTTCAGTACCAAAGAAGTACCGGGCATCGGTACCAACGAAGTACCGGGCTTCGGTACCCATCCCTAGTTGGCAGCCCTGAAACAGCTTGATGAGCAACTCTCCCCATGTTTTAAAAATGCTAATATCACGTTTCTGCTACGCTAAATAATGATTTTTCAGCAGAACTATTAAAATGTTCGACTGGGGTGGAGAGTAGGTCTGCTCTGTGGAGGGGGGAAGAGTTTGTAACTCCTTCTGCACATTTAAAGATCTACGTCCCAATCCTCACCTATGGTCATGAGCTTTGGGTAATGACCGAAAGAACGAGATCGCGGATACAAGCGGCCGAAATGAGTTTCCTCCGTAGGGTGGCCGGGCTCAGCCTTAGAGATAGGGTGAGGAGCTCGGACATTCGGGAGGGACTCGGAGTAGAACCGCTGCTCCTCCGGATCGAAAGGAGCCAGTTGAGGTGGTTTGGGCATCTGGTCAGGATGCCTCCTGGACGCCTCCCCGGGGAGGTGTTTCGGGCATGTCCTGCCGGCAGAAGGCCCCCGGGTCGACCCAGGACACGTTGGAGAAGTTACATCTCCAATCTGGTCCGGGAACGCCTTGGGGTCCTGCCGGAGGAGCTGGTGGACAAGGCCGGGGAGAGGACGGCCTGGAGCTCCCTAGTTGGGATGCTGCCCCCGCGACCCGGACCCGGATAAGCGGAGGAAGACGACGACGACGACGACGAGTACCCAAAAGCGGCTCATTCTTATAGAGCTCCGGGAGTTGACGTCACTTCTCCCGGCATGCAACAGTTCAAATCGAAACGGCACCATATTGGCAGGCAGAAGCCCGCAGCTGGACTATTTGTTATTGTCAGAAAACTCAATCAAACAGGAGATATGGTAGATTCCTGTTGTGCCCCAGGATGCAGAACAGACGCGGACGACATAAGGAATGAGCCGTCTACAGGACTCCCCAAGATCCGGAGCACCGCAAACGTTGGATCATTGTAATAAAACGCGCTAGTGACCGGGCTAAAATGAAGCTGTGGGATCCCGAGAGTAAAGGTTTTCACTTATGCAGCGACCGCTTCATATCAGGTACTTAAACCAACGTTTCCTCAACTGTGTATGGTATTTATTTTAAATGCTTTTATTACGATTCTTAGTGGGCTTCCTAAACTTATTTTGGCGTGGCTTTTTCTGTCCTATTACTCATAGCAACAAGTAAACATCACGTAAAACGTTGCCTCGTGAGTTCTGCGTGCTGCCGTTTACGTGTTTTATGATCACAGCAATTAACCGGCTAAGCTGTATTTAATTTTTAAGCAATGTTTGATCAATTGTCAGATCACACATAAAAATCACTTTGGATTGCTATTATCTGTCTCACCGAGACCGATCTCAGACAGATCCTGAGACGCTCCTGCTGACATATTTATTTTATCCACGGAAAAAAATCAAACTAGTGATTTCTCTTGGCGGTCAGTTTATACATTCAAACAGCACAGCACTCTATTTAAACTTCTTACGTGTAAATCTGTTATTTGTCCATCCATCCATCCATTTTCATCCGCTTATCCGGAGTCAGGTTGCGGGGCAACAGCCTAAGTCGAGAGGCCCAGACTTCCCTCTCCCCAGCCACTTGGGCCAGCTCCTCCAGGGGAATCCCAAGGGGTTCCCCGGCCAGGTCCGGTAAGATGTCCGCTCCGACAGCTTCTGGCATTTTTAAAAAGTATCCCAGGGGCACGGTAAGGGTCGGAGATGTTTAGTCTATTTAATTTCTGACTATATAAAACAATTTCTTCAGTTTTAAAGTCTGAAGTAAACTCCGACAAAGTAAGATCCAAGCCGATCCCGTTCATTTTGTTCACATTTGTTGCCTGCCAATATGGCGTCTACTCTCTGAGAGTCACGTGACGTCCGGAGCTCTATAGTCTCCCCAGAACAGGGGTAAATGAGAGTCTGTAGAGCAACAATAACGAGGAAATCAGACCCAAAAACTGCAGTTCCACTGAGTTTAGACCCCAACTGAATGATTTTGAGGTAAAAAGGGAGAATTTAAAAGAATGATAGGTCTCCTTTAATTAACAGACTTGGTGACTCGGTGGGGATCTCTGGAACTGTTCTAGACTGGTTTAGATTGTACCTTTCTAACAGAAGTTAGTGTCTGTATAAGCCAAATCATGTAAGCTTCTACTGATCTGTTCAAGGCTCTGTTTTAGGTCCACAGAAAGAAAGAATAAAACATATTTCAAAAAGGATTAAAATATGTTAAAAATTAGAGGAAAAAATATAGAAATTGTGATAAAAAATTATAATGTAAGGGAGAGAGAAAATGAATAAAGTTAAAGTCCCATTAGTTGTCACACGCACTGATGTACATATACCTTCTTGGACAGATAATTGATTCTTTTCGTAATGTATCTCATCACCTATACGCAGATGATATTCAGCTGTACTGCTGCTTTAAGGAATCTGACTTCTATAAACTGTCTGAATTACTAGAGTGTCTATCAGTTATCACCAACTGGCTACAAGAGAACTTCCTCCAGTTAAACTCTGAAAAGACTGAATGTGTGATCATTGCCCCTGAGAGCATGGTTCCCCTGATTAGTGTAAGGTAACTTGCATGCTCCACAGAAACACAACTCAGCAGAAAAACGATGGTGTTGCTGGACATTTTGCTCAGTTTAATGGCTATTTGTCAGATTCTGAACAAGGAAATGGCTGCAGGCAGTGAAACAGAAGGCAAAAAATTCCAGAGGAACCAGTGACTTCACCCCCTAACCAATCAGTGGCCAGAATCACAATGTCGGCCTGACTCAGACTTGCTAGGTACCTCAACGGAGAAGGAGCTAAAAATAAGGTAGAAAGTAGAGGGAAAATACTGAACCGAGCCCTTAGGAACAGTGGTCGGGCTGAGCTGCATCCACCCGAGATATTCGGAGTAGTGCTCCCAGAAATGGGATGGGATGGTTTCAAATTGTTTTTCGGCTAAATTTTTACATAGCTAACAGTGAAAATTATTATTTCCTGTGTGGACTCTCATGTGACGGTTTAGATTTGTCTTACCACAAAATTTCCATCCAGAGCTCACAGATAAAAGACTTCTGTCCTGTGTGGATTCTCATATGACGGTTTAGATTGGTTTTAAAACTAAATTTTTGTCCACAAAGTTCACAGGCAAAAGGCTTCTGTCCTTTGTGGACTGTCATGTGATTGTTTAAATTTGCTTTATGACTAAATCTTTTTCCACAGAGCTCACAGGCAAAAGACTTCTGTCCTGTGTGGACTCCCATATGACTGTTTCAAATTTGCTTTATGACTAAATCTTTTTCCACAGAGCTCACAGGCAAAAGACTTCAGTCCTGTGTGGACTCTAACATGACAGTTTAGATTGGTTTTAAAACAAAATTTTTATCCACAAAGTTCACAGGCAAAAGGCTTCTGTCCTTTGTGGACTCTCATGTGACGGTTTAAACTTGCCTTCTGACTAAATTTTTTCCAGAGAGCTCACAGGTAAACGGCTTCTGTCCTGTGTGGACTCTCATATGACGGTTTAAACTTGTCTTATGGCTAAATCTTTGTCCACAGAGCTCACAAGCAAAAGGCTTCTGTCCTGTGTGGACTCTCATGTGAGAATTTAAACTTCCCTTTTGACTAAATCTTTGTCCACAGAGTTCACAGGCAAAAGGCTTCTGTTCTGTGTGAACTGTCATGTGTCTCTTTAAATGTGTCTTTTCGCTGAATTTTTGTCCACAGAGTTCACAGACAAATAGCTTCTGACCTGTATGGACTTTCACGTGTCTGTTTAAATTAGTCTTTCGATTAAATGTATGTTCACAGAGCTCACAAGCAAAAGGCTTCTCTCCTGTGTGGACTCTCATGTGCCTGTTTAAATGTTCCTTTTGGCTAAATCTTTGTCCACAGAGCTCACAGGCAAAAGGCTTCTCTCCGGTGTGGACTCTCATGTGCCTGTTTAAACTTGCCTTATTGCTAAATCTTTGTCCACAGAGTTCACAGAGCCCACAAGCAAAAGGCTTCTCTCCTGTGTGGACTCTCATGTGACTGTTTAAATGTTCCTTTTGGCTAAATCTTTGTCCACAGAGCTCACAGCTAAAAGGCTGCTCTTCAGTGTGGACTCTCATGTGACTGTTTAAATTAGTCTTTCGATTAAATCTTTGTTCACAGAGCTCACACGCAAAAGGCTTCTCTTCAGTGTGGACTCTCATGTGACTGTTTAAATTAGTCTTTCGATTAAATCTTTGTTCACAGAGCTCACAGGCAAAAGGCTTCTCTCCGGTGTGGACTCTCATGTGACTGTTTAAACTTGCCTTACGACTAAACCTTTGTCCACAGAGTTCACAGGCAAAAGGCTTCTCTCCAGTGTGGACTTTCATGTGACTGTTTAAATTCGTCTTTCGATTAAATCTTTGTTCACAGAGATCACAGGCAAAAGGCTTATCTCCGGTGTGGACTGTCATATGATTGTTTAAACTTGCCTTACAACTAAACCTTTGTCCACAGAGTTCACAGGCAAAAGGCTTCTCTCCAGTGTGGACTTTCATGTGACTGTTTAAATTAGTCTTTCGATTAAACCTTTGTCCACAGAGTTCACAGGCAAAAGGCTCATCTCCGGTGTGGACTCTCATGTGACTGTTTAAGCCTGATATTCCCCGAAATCTTTTTCCACAGTCGTCACAACAATATGATTTTAGTCCTTTCTGGACTTTTCTGCACGAGTGCACATGTTTCTTCACTCCAACATATTTTCTAATAACCCGACAGTCAGAAGACCTTTTTGCCGTATGTCCCGTCACTCTGACGTGTTTCTGGAGAGAACTCTTGTGGAGAAATAGTTTACCACACTCAGGGCAGCTAAAGGATTTGTTGACAGACTTAACATCTGACTCAGAAGACCTGCTCTTGTTGCAGTCATTGACTCTGTCTCCAGTGTCAGACAGCTCAGAGTCTATGTTCACTTCATCATCCTCTTCATCATCTCTACTAACTTCCGTCTCTGAAGAATCAGATGTCTGTTCATGAGGGAAAAGATTTGAGTACTTTCTAGTTTCTGCTGTCTTCAGGTCAGCTGAGCTGCTGGTTGGAACATCTCTGTCCTCCATTTGCTGCTGATGAAGCTGTGAGAACAGAGGTTTCTCTTCATCATCCTCACTCTTTATAGTATCTACAGTGAATGGAAACCTGGCAGCATCAGTCTCCTGATTGGTCCTAAGTTCGTCCTGTTCCTCCTTTATGTGGAAGTGTTCTGGGTCCTGCTGGTCCTCACTAGCACTCTGTTCTTCAGGAGCTTCTTTAACCAGCACCATCGGTTGAACAC